TGCGAAGAGCGTGCCTCTCGAGGGGTAAGAGGAGTCCCCCACGCTCTCAGAGGCCCATGTCTCTACCCACACACGGGGACGGTGAGCGTGCTAGAACCGCAGTGGGAGAAGCCTGCAGTAGTGAGGGAAGGAAGCTTCTACTTGGCACCTCATCACCGCCAAGTCTTTATAAAGCGTCCTTAGTATCCAAGGCAGGAGAAGGTCTTCTGTGGATTTTACCTATTTTAGGACCACCAGCGTTATAAAATCCCTTGAAATGTGTATGTGCCTAGGTATAAATGCCTACACAGCTCTTTACAAGGTTTCAGATTCTACCTTAAATTATGTGTGTCTGTATGTGAGGACATACCTCTGTACCTAATGTGGGGCTCAAACTCACAGCCCCTGAGGTCGAGAGTCTCCTGATCTCCTGACTGAGCCAGCCAGGCACCCTTCAGATTCTACCTTCAATTAAATTCTACCTTAATGGCGCTCATCAATCTGAAGTCTTATCCCAGCATTGTATGTATAATAACATTGATATTCATAATTTCCTTGGTAAAGTTAATTGAGTTGACTTTCAGGAACATCATTCCTTGTCCATCAAGTTCCCATGTAACAGAACTAAGATAGCCGTCTGTTTGTGTTATTAAAACAAAATACCCCTAACTGCCAACTCTCTAGTGGTCGGATAGACATTTTAATAAATTAGTAGTGTTACCAACCAGTAGGCTGGCATTAGACTCCAGATGCTTGGAGCCGGGTTACGTGCTTAGCGCAAAGTAGGCGCAATAAATGTTTGTTCATTGAATGAAGAGGCAAAGAAATGACTAACGGGCCAACCACTGATGATACGGCTTAGTAACAGGAAGTTCACTAGGGGAAGCACGGTGTCCAGATTTCTTCTGCTAATCTTAGCACAAAATATTATAAAAATAGGTCCACGTTTATTGTTGGGCCAAGCTAAAATAGATCCAGACCGATTGTTTGGGCTTCATAAACGCACGATAAAATAGACGTCAATCCCTGTCATTCACACGATGCCCTGCTCTCGCCGATAGAATCTCACCCTTGGCAAATGTGGCCTGGTAGCCGGCCTGAAAACTCGGAGGTCACTCCAAATGTATATAAACAACGCCGGCCAGGCCCAGAGCTGGTAGAGCATCTAAAAATAGAGAAGTAATCCCTTATCTTGTTGCCCATGAAAATAGTGTTTATATGAAGCAACACTATTAGAAATGACGTGTGAGAAAAGAATGTCTGCGGTGTCTTCTGCCGTTGGGAGCGAGCAAACAAATTAGTGTCACTTTGAGGCGCAGGATTAGTACCGCTGGACCGGGGACTGAAACCATAGCCAGGTTC